TTTAAAAACTCTTTCTTTGTAAATATCTCATGTTACAATGTGGACTCCTATGGCTTATACACAAGCACGGCCTATATATGTTATATTATATTCGAGTGCGCTCTATAGTCTGGAAGTTATGGTAATTAATTAGAACCTGTGGTCATTACAGCTAATGGAATATGTTCATGAGTAAAATGAAATGATTAATCACTAATCGAAAGGTTAGTTACCCTGTTAAGTAAAGACAGAGGGAGTTTGCACACGATAGCTTGAACATTTGTGAGGGTATAAGTAATGTGTACTATGATATAAAATATGAATGCAAAATAAGGTGTGATGGGTAAAATATTATAAGGTAATTTCTAAGAATGCTTTCAGCAACAGACTCAAAATAAAGTGTGTGTATTTATTTATTAGTTCATTCTGGATGCTTTGCTTTTACATTTAAGAGCCACTAAAATGTACCAGAACAGACTTTAACTTCACGTCTTTCCTGGCTGGACGTTGCTGCAGAGTTCCACATCCTGTAACATCCAACAGAATTGTTTTAGTTAAGAAGTAAAGGAAAAACTCACTTGGAATGTGCACAAATAAACATTTAGTACAAAAAAAACGTTCCACTGTCCAGGAAAATGGGGAGTGTGGCAAAGAGGTGAAAAACAGAGTCCAGGCAGGATGGAGTGGATGGAGAAAATAAGAATGCTCAATATTGGATTTTTGGCTGATATGTTAAAACTTATTTGGCCGATAACTAGAGGTGCACTGATAAATCAGCTGGCCGATTTATTGGCCCCGATTTCCTTAATTTTGGAAAATCGGAGATCGTCCGATACTTAAATGAGAAACCGATTTTACAGATTTTTTTGTAGTTTTAAAAACAATTGTCTTTACTTCATTTATATTTTAGAGCACTACCTCATGGCCAGTTAAAACAAGTAGGATATTGTTCAAGGGCATGCTTTTCAACAAAATAATATTGGGAAAACTGAAGGTACATTGTGTCTTTACAACACCTGACAGTGTGGATTATAAAACAAAATCAGTATCGGCCAAAATCTGAATCGGCAGGTCAGACTTTTTAGAAATTGGTGATTGGCCAGAAAACTGCAATCGGTGCACCCCTACCGATAACCGATACCAATACCAATATTTTTCCCCCTAGACCTACTTACAGCGACTACATACACTACATTGCCAAAAGTATTTGCTCACCTGGCTTGACTCGCATATGAGCTCAAGTGACATCCCATTCCTAATCCATAGAGTTCAATATGACGTTGGTCCACCCTTTGCAGCTAGAACAGCTTCAACTCTTCTGGGAAGGCTGTCCACAGGTTTAGTAGTGTGTTTATGGGGATTTTTGACCATTCTTCCAGAAGCGCATTTGTGAGGTCCCATACTGATGTTGGACGAGAAGGCCTGGCTCTCAGTCTCCGCTCTAGTTCATCCCAAAGGTGTTCTATCGGGTTGAGGTCAGAACTCTGTGCAGGCCAGTCAAGTTCATCCACACCAGACTCTGCCATCCATGTCTTTATGGACCTTGCTTTGTGCACTGCTGCACAGTCATGTTGGAAGAGGAAGGGGCCAGCTCCAAACTGTTCCCACAAAGTTGGGAGCATGGAATTGTTCAAAATGTCTTGGTAGGCTGAAGCATCTAGAGTTCCTTTCACTGGAACTAAGGGGCCAAGCCCAGCTCCTGAAAAACAACCCCACACCATAATCCCCCCCTCCACCAAACTTTACACTTGGCACAATGCAGTCAGACAAGTACTGTTCTCCTGGCAACCACCAAACCCAGACTCATCCATCAGATTGCCAGATTGAGAAGCGGGATTCGTCACTCCAGAGAACGCGCCTCCACTAGTCTAGAGTCCAGTGGCGGCGTGCTTTACACCACTGCACCCGACTCTTTGCATTGCATTTGGCGATGTATGGCTTGGATGCAGCTGCTCGACCATGGAAACCCATTCCATGAAGCTCTGTGCACTGTTCTTGAATTCATCTGAAGGACACATGAAGTTTGGAGGTCTGTAGTGTTTGACTCTGCAGAAAGTTGGCGACATCTTCGCACTATGAGCTTCAGCATCTGCTGACTCCGCTCCGTCAGTTTAAGTGGCCTACCACTTTGTGTCCGAGTTGCTGTCATTCCCAAACACTTCCATTTCCTTATAAAACAGCTGACAGTTGACTGTGGAATATTTAGGAGCGAGGAAATTTCACGACTGGATTTGTTGTACAGGTGGCATCCTACCAGTTCCACGCTGGAATTCACTGAGCTCCTGAGAGCGACCCATTCTTTCACAAATGTTTGTAAAAACAGTCTGCATGCCTAGGTGCTTCATTTTATACACCTGTGGCCATGGAAGTGATTGGAACACCTGATTCTGATCATTTGGATGGGTGAGCAAATACTTTAGGCAATGTAGTGTAGCTTTCTCTGCTGTGGAATTAAAATATTACTTTATTCTGCATGGTCTTTGTCAATTTGTCCTGCTACCAAATGCAGATGCCAAAAAGGGGACTGAAAATGATGCAACACTTTAACTTGGATTATGTTTAATGTCAAATGTATTAGTGATATTTACTCTCTAACGCAATGACAACACTGGAACAGTGCAAATTTGTAAATTTTCACATCTAAACTCAACCTGTTCACAAGAGACAAGTGAAAAGTCCATTAGTAGTAGTGCATTAATAAATATACTTGACAGTTTCTTAAATTAAAAATTAACTTAAAACAGAAGCCTTTTATATCGGTGAGTTATTTTGATGGAATGGCCGATGTCCGATATTTAACTTTATCGTTAATATCGGCCGATACCATACTGATAATATGCATCCCTAGGAGAAAAGTTTCAGGAGTGATTTGTGACAAAAGGGTGTCAGCAAAGGTCAAAGGAAAAGTTTACAAGACAGTTGTGAGACCAGCTGTGTTGTATGGTCTGAAGACAGAGACATGAACAAAAATACAGGAGAAAGAACTGGAAGTGTCAGAAATGAAGATGTTGAGGTTCTTCTTAGGAGTGACAAGGATAGATAAGATTAGGAATGAGATCATCAGAGGTACAGCACAGGTTGAACAACTGGGAGATAAAGTTAGAGACCAGACTGAGATGGTTTGGACATGTCCAGAGGAGGGACAGTGGGTATACTGGTAGAAGGATGTTAGAAATGCAGCTGCCAGGAGAAAGACAAAGAGGAGATATATGGATGCAGTTAGAGAGGACATGGAGGTAGTTGGAGTGAGGACAGAGGATGCAGAGGACAGAGAGAGATGGAGGAGGATGACTTGCGGTGGAGACCTCTGAAGAGGGAAAAGCTGAAAGAAGAAGAAGATAGTGTTCTGAGAAACCAATTGAAAAGTGAGCCTCAAACAGTTACTATGTGAAAACTACAAATGTGAAAACTACAAATTGGATTTAAAAATTCTTGAACTGTGAGACACAGAAGACAGATGGTCATATAATGTCAACAAGTCTGACGTACCTCGTCACTCAAGGATTTGAATAATGAACGTTTGGATTTTTTTAGATTGGTTTGGAATTGAACAGGGAACACAAGTAAACCTTAAATGTTTTAGTACAAGATATTCAAATGGGTAGGTTAGGTTTTTTCTTGTCCGGGGCAGCACAGAGTGGCATATCCTGGAGAGCAGAGGGAACTATTTTATCCTCCACCAGGTGCAATGGCGGAGCCAGGGGGTGGCCAATGGTGGCCTTGACCACCATCGATTAAACATTGATCACCACACTGACTATCCCAATCATACTTTTAATCAATATAAAAACTAGGGGGGAAAACTACATTTTGATATATAATTTATGTACTTGTATATGTTGATTAGGATGAGTTTGTAAAACTTTTTAAAGTCGAAACAGTTAAAAGGTTAGTGTGATATCAATTGGTAGTTGAACATTCTGTATAAAAAAAAAACCCTTCAAAAATCATAAAATGTAAACTCTGAGTTTTTTTAAAAAGCCTAACAAAAATCCACATGCCAGTGAAAGCCTGTCAACTGTGACCCATTTCAACTTTGAATAATGTTTCTACTGTAAAGAATGTCCGAGCTGTAGAGCTCCCAGGAGGTCCGGGCTTTCTCATCTGTTTTGTTCAAATGTCGTCGATGGCTATGGAGAAATGGAAGTTGTTTTGCATATTTTGTCCATTTTCTTTATCACTGCAGACAATCATAGCACACCGTTTCGTATTAAGCTGCATGTTTTATGTGAAAAGACAAAAATTGTGACGGAAATCAAACAAAATGGTTCTAAGTGCGCTTCAGTGCACAAACATAAGTGTTTAACGAGAGCCCTGCAGAAAGAACTTGAGGGTTTATATGATAACACTCGGGCATCTTTCTCCCACCAGTCTTATTTGAGGTGTAATATGAGGTTCATACTGGTAAGATGAAGGTCTATTATTACAGCTGTTAACTGTTTGGTCTCCACTGTAAAGCTGTAATCATATTCCATAGTCCTCAGTCACAGCTCACCCCATCCTTCAGGAGATGAAAGGTTCTGCTTGGATATCACTGCATTCACTGGGACTGTGTGGGTGCAGTGTGTTCTGTTGATCCCTGCACGCTGGGATCATCTTCTAGCCACGAGGCAGGGTGTGAAGGGTGGGCAAGAAGAGACGATAACCCGTCCCCTCTCTGTTTTTAGTGTTCTCATGAGGCCCGCACTCAGCTTCTAGCTGCTGTGTCTGGTTCAGGGCGGCAGTAACATAAACTCCACAAAAATGAAAACACCCAGATGTTCCCACGACTTGGCTGCAAACTTCCTGTTTGCTCTGCAACTTCAGTGTAGTCGGATGATGTTGTTTTTATTGAACCCTCATTGTCCTTCCTGTGTGACCATTTAGCAGCTGTAAAGTGGAAATTAGAGGAAAAAGTAAACATGGTCATTCTATTGCTCATCCGTTCAAGTTTCTTGATGCCACCCTAATATCAGCTGCTCTGTGTGTGTGTGCGTGCGTGCGTGCGTGTGTGTGTGTGTGTGCGCGTGCGCACGAGACAGGTATGCTGCAGAGACGGCCTACCCTAGAGGACTTTGTGGACGCCCTGGTGTCAGAGCTCAACCCAAACTTTGAAACTTTCCTCATGGATTCTGAGAACTAAAGAATTATCATCTCTACACTGTATCAGTAAATTAATTCACCTTTCTGTAATCCTTTTTTGACTTGTCTAATTTACTTGAACCATTTGTCTGTCTGCACAATTTAACATGAATTAAAGATTTGATAGTAAAAATCAAATTCCTGGTGTCCGGTTGTGTTTTGCTTATTAAACAGGTCCTTTTCTGGTTCTTTTTGTGTCTTTAATGACATTTTATTTGTTTTAACACTCATTGGTGCTGGACCACACACTGAATATTTATAATCATAAAAAAATTGTATTTATTTTTTCATTCTGCCTTTATTTCTGCAGGTTAGTCTCATTGATCCACGAGGACTCATAATGATAATAATAATAATACATTTTATTTGTATAGCACTTTTCTAAATAGTCAAAGATGCTTTACAAGAGAGACCTGTTTGAAACAAAGAACACAGATGAGAAACAGACAACAATAGACAAATCATTTAAAATCATAAAATGAAAAGTAAATAAAGACTATATTTAAAAACAAGAAACAAACAACTACATTATAAAGCGATGTAAAATATTAAAAACAAGAACATGTCTGTGTTAGTTTTTGCCATGAACTTAGCAGTTGTTTAAAATCCCTTATTTAGTTATCGTTTTGTTTTTTTTGCCAGTTTATTTCCAGTGGTGGACCCAGCTAACTAGAAAGTTGGCTTCGCTAACTGCTAATTCGCTAACTTAAAATTTAGCTTCGCTAATGCAAAACTACTAACCTGATTTTTTTTTTATATCGGAAGCTAATGCTAAAGTGCTAACTTTTATCGTGCACTGCTAATGCTGTAAGACTTAACGTGACAACGTTGTAAGTGAACACAACTCAAAACGGTTCATAAATCAAAGGTAAAGTGTCCAAGTCCTGTTCAGAGGCAGAAATGTATCTGGTCCATCTGAACCAAAGAGGTGAAGCAGAGTGATGCATTCAATGTGTGTCGGACATCTCCTTCGTGTCATTTACTTTAATGAATTACCTCACTTTGGCAATCCTCTTTGTGGTTAACTACTTTTATAAACTAGCTACAAAGTTGCTGTGCGTCATCATCAATATTCTCTCTGTAATAAATTTGTCTTAAAGTAAAGATGTCTGAAGAAAAGTGTGAGAGAGTCACGTCCCAGAGACAGTTTGAACATTGCAAAGCATGCTGGGTAGGAATTTTGTGCGTCTCTGAGTATGAAAATGTTGTTTTTTTCATGTTTCATGTTTTATTTCCCTGTTCAGGTTTTGTTTGGCATTTATGTTAAACTGACACCATGAGTCAGAGACTTTTTGTGGTAGATATGGGGGGTGGGGGTGGGGGGGACTGTAAGGGTGGTGACATCACCGGATGTTGCTTACCTTTGCTTAGCTAAAAATAGCTCTGCGTAGCATAGCATTGCTCCATCCTGTCTAGAACACTCCTGTATGCTCTGTGCTATCTTTAGAAAAAATTAGCGGAGTTAAATGTACTGGATTTCATTTAAGTGGACGCTAATTCCCTAAACACTAATCCACTGGAAGGAAAGTTAGTTCTGCTATTAGTGGAACAGTGCCCACCACTGGTCTCATCCCCTCCACAACTACCGTCTGCTCATTAGTTTTCCACTTTTTGTTCACAATGCAGCAGAACATTGTTTTTTCCTGCTCAAGTCAGCATGAGGAAGAATACAGGCCTCACGGGCAAAATCAGCCACGCATTTGTTTATTTATCATACCACAAAATAATGCATCCCCCAAAAACTGGATCCTGTTTTAAAATATTAGATAAAAAAAAAAGACTAAAATTTCCACCCTTGTCTTTGGGCAGCAAAACCACAACATTTAGGCAACAATGACATCATAGCCCCATCTCTAACCTTTGACCTGAGCATGTCCTCATCTGTATTGTGTTTACAGTTTGAGGCTGCAGTGGTTGGAGCAGTCGTCCTCCAATGGGAGAGTTGAGGGTTCGGTTCTACCAACAGTCACATGTAGAAGTGTCCCTGAGCAAGACACTGAACCCCTCATTGTCTTCGATGTGTCCCATCAGTGTATGGATGTGATAAAGCTCTGATTAGTCCCTATTGAGTGATTTGTTCCATTATCTTTGTAGAGGTCTAGTAGAGTGCTGTATGAATGTGTGTGGAGGTAAATGAGGGCACAGGTTGTGTTGTAAACACTTGTGGAGTATCTTGATTACATAGAAAGGCACTGTGTAAGTACCATTTACCGTTTTGCACTTTCTGCTCTCGCTCCACACCTTGTCTCCTGTTTTTGGTGTTTTAATGGCAGAGCGCCACGTACAGGCCCAGTTGCTACAGCATTTTGAATCATCGTTGGCATTTCCTCATCCATGAGGATGTTCTTTTGAAATGGTGCCAAGTTTTCAAGAAGACTTAAAAACAAATAAATATATTGTTTTGGGAAAAAAAAACATATCCGTGTGGACAGGACCTTTGCGTTTTCCAACTAGTGGTCAAAAATCACAAACCACTGAGATGAAGGACACGATTACCAGTTTTCTGCTTCTTTATTTGCATTAATATTAATATGGATTGCATTAATAGAATATGGAGACCATCCTGTCTCCATATTCTCATCCTCCGAATTTCCCCCACTAGTACTTGCCATCTGATCCACTCACAACCCGGATTATGCCAAGAACCACCTTTAAATTAACTTAACAAACTTCCAGTTAACCGTCCGTTCAAACTCAGCGTCCTCCACCTGGCGTTGGGGAGTGGTGGCGCAGAGGTTAGAGAGGTGGGCTTGTGATCCGAAGATCGCCGGTTCACGCCCCGGCCCCGACAACATCAAAAATTGTGGGTGGGGTAGGTGAAACACCCACACTTGCCCCCACCCTCATTCGTCCCACTCTGGGCCCATGAGCAAGGCCCTTAACCCCCACCATGTGCTCCCTAAACAGGTCTCTCTTGAAAATGAGTTCTCGTGGCTCAATGAGACTAACCTGGATAAATAAAGGCTAAATAAATAAAAAAATTTAAAAAAAATATAGAAATACAGATGTCCATTTTTGAAACAAAAGGCCTTTTTGTTGCAGTTTGTATTTGCTGCCAAGACTTAAAAGGGAAACCAGCAAACTTTGGTAGATGAAGGATGCTGACTCAGCCTTGTCAGAGTGCTTCGTCAGCACCACAGTGTCTGTTTTAGATGGGAACCATGAGTCGGGCTGGGACTGTAACGTTGTCTATGCTTGCCTTCCTCACACCTGAGGCTGAGGAGGAGCTTCCCAAGGTGTGAGCACAACTTCAGAGAGCTAACCAGGTGTTCCTCAAGACAGCAGACTGCAGTTGGACTCTGTTTTTCAATGTCCCTGTGATCAACTTCTGGTTGGAGTCGAAGCATTTTATACCAGCAGAACGTTTTAAACTCGACTAAAGAACAAGCATCGTGTAAATTATTGTCATTCTGTGATTTTACACATCAAAATAAAAGTTGACTTCAAGAGGAGTGTCCAGCCAGTGGAAAACGGTTCTCTTAAGCAATAGTTTGGGAAAGATTAAACAATATCTTACCTGTTGTAGATAAGATGGCTTGTGAAGGAATGTAGTTTGATTCTGTCCACATCAACTAGCTAATTGGTAGTCTGAGCGAGGACGACATCAAAGTGGATTATTTAGTCTTAACACCCTAATCTCAAAAGTTTCAGAGGTTCCTGAAAATGTTGTTTTATAAATTTTTACAGCACCATGAATGTAATATCTGATTATTCCAGAAGAAAAATTAGGATATTCCTACAAAAGGGACTACTGTTAGTTGCTGTTGCTTCTGTTTGCCCTGGGAAAACCCATATTCTACATAAATAACGTTATCATGTAAAAATGATGGCGCAAAATACTAGCAAAACTAGCATTTGTGTTAACCTGTATGAAAGTTTCATGTTGTAGCAGTTTTAGGGCTCACCAGTCCACTTGTTCTCCTCACAAGCTCTTTAATGTTGTCAGAATTACATTTTCTCCAAATAGAAGTTGTTCCAAGTGCTATCTACAACAGGTAAGATATTGATAGTTATTCACCTTTCCAGAAAACTTCAATTCAAAAACTCTGAACAAGCTTTTGGCGAAAACTAGAAAAATGTGTTGTAAAGTTAAACAATTTAAATAAAAAATATTTGTACCTGTAAAAAAAATGCTAGTTTTATAGATAACTTTTAATAATTGTTTTTATATATATATATATATAATGTTTGTGAATATTTTTTGTACAGTGCCCTGAGATACATAAACTGAATTAAATTAATTTAACTTGATCTCATTTTTGAAATACTGTAATCAGCTTGTAAATGTTAAAATGTAAAAAGAACAGGATTTCTTGAGGTTTGACAGGAATTACCGTATTTTCCGGCGTATAAGTCGCAGGGTTTTTTTTTTTTTGCATAATTTGTCAGTCCTGCAACTTATATATGTTTTTTCCCTCCATATTCATAACGCAATTTTTGACTGACACTTTAAATTTCTAACAATTGCAACAGTGAGTCGTCCTGTGTGCGCTCGCGTCACTCAGCTGGTGCAGGCGGAGGAACGCTGGAGAGGTAGCGGCTCGGATGGATGGATGGATGGATGGCGTCGCACCGTCCAGGTGAAATTAAGCTGTTTTGACTATTAAATAAACATGACAGGTCAGCGGTGACACATAATAAATACCACTTATACGCCGGACAATACGGTAAGTAAATATTTTCAGAATACTGTAGGCGCCTGTTTCATTTATTAAATTAGCATATTTGGCAATTTCAAACTCGGCAGTCATGAATAAATATAATAGATACAATTCACAAATATGTGGAGAAAAAAGGACAAATTTGATGGTTTGATTGTGTTGAAGTGGTTTATTTACAGCATCCATACAACCAACAACACCCACTGGGGTGAGGAAGGCAAACATGTCATGTCTGCAGTCTGTTACAAAAATATTCACCTATTTGCTATTTTACAGTATCTACAACACATTTATCACTCGGACGTTCCTCGTTCGACTTGTTCCAGTATCAGGATCGTCTTCAAGGTGCAACATGATCATTTGACCCTTTGTCACATTTCAAACTGTCACTCTGTTTTTGTTTCTTCTTCCACACAGCAGCTCCGTAACAGCAGACTGTGAAATGAGCTGTACAAGTTTCTGTTTTCCTCCATGTAGAGATGCTCAAAGATCAGATGTGTGGAGCAGAGGATCACCGCAGCTGCTTCATAGTCACGAGTCAGTGAGCCACCTTCATGTGAGTTAACCGCCTCGTTCTGCGGGGAGCCATGTTGAACCCTGCAGGTTGCTCGGCTGCACCTGTTTACATGTGTGTACATATTCTGTTTGGACCTGACCAAGGGATCAATGAGGAGGCACTTCAAGGAGACAACGTGACCCCACGTGTGTGTGTGTGTGTGTGTGTGTGTGTGTGTGTGTGTGTGTGTGTGTTTAGAAAGACGAGTGTGCAACCTGAGAGAGAATCAGGCTGCGGCCGTTGTTCAGTCCAGCGTGGAACACAAAATAACAGAAATCCACTTCATCCTGGGAAGAAACAAAAATCCTTGCAGAGATTAGTAACTTTAGAGACTGAAGACGCAGCTCGGAAGGTTATCGAGGAGATCAAATGCAACTTTCATCAGTTTTGCGTGTGTTCGTTCCTGCAGCCACTCACCTTCCTGCGCCGGTGCATGTTTGGGAAGGAGCGCGTCTGTCGCAGCGTTGCTCCACTCCACGCTCCTCTCCGATGAGTCCTCCTTCAGCACGGACTCTTCCTCTCCTGCGAGTCTTCCTACAGAGCTGCGCTGAGGAATCCCCAAATATTCTGGAGGTTCAAAATGTCCTCTCATCCCAACATCTCCCCCACAGTCAGCTTCTAGATGGCCCTCCAGCTGCGTGGAGGTGACCTCGTTCAGGGTCGTGTTTCTGGGGAACCAAAAGAAATGTCAGCGCCTTGAACATTTCCACGTTTTGTCACAACCGCTAAGGGTTTTACTGGGACGTCGTAGAACAACACAAAGGAGAATAAAATGAGGCAAAATGATACATCATTATTATTATTTTTTTCTTACAAATAAAAATCTGAAAAGTACGACGGAGCTTTAGGGCCACGCTAAGAAAATAAAATTAAAAGCCATAAAATTAGGAGAAAAAGTTGTACGAGGTTTTTTTTTTTTTTGCAGCTCTCTTTTTTTTCCCACAAGTCGGATACTGACACAACCTGTCGATCAATCCAGTAGGCGTGTCAGCAAATGACCAATCCGAAGCTAAATGCTCTTTACCTGCAGAGCTGCTGCTGCCCATCAGAGTATACCACGTTACTGTAAGCAGGTTCAAAGTCCTGACACTGATAATAATCTGATGCTGATGTGCTCACAGATTAACTATCTTATTTATAAAACCAATACCAAAGTATAACTTAACAAGATGCTCAATATTTTTAATTTTACCACAGTTAAAATGCAGTAAACTGCTTTATCGTGTCGGAGTTCGGATAATATTACAACTCGTTTAGCTTCGGATTGGTCATTTGCTGACACGCCTACTGGATTGATTGATTGACAGTTTGCGTCATGGATACGATTCGTGGAAAAAAAACAAATGAGAGTTAAAAAAAAAAAGTTTTTAAAGTCTCGTACGACTTTATTCTCGTAATTTTATGGCTTTTAATTTTTTTTTTTCATAGCGTGGCCCTAAAGCTCCGTCGTAGAAAAGTGTGTCTTGTATTTATATTCAGGATCAATACGTTGTTTCCAGTTTGGATCTTAAGATGCGTGAGCACTTTTAAAGGCACCGTGGCTGTTAATGCTAGCAACACCCACTGCTGTTGCTCATGCTTCAAACTAATTAATTGCGAACACTAAATCATCTGCAGCGCACGATAGAAAAAAGATTACTACCCTGGAGGGCTGTGGAGCAGTTTAATGTTTAACTGGCTGTCAGGTTTACTGTAGGCTTATTAAAGCCCAGATCACAGAGGAGGACTCCGTCTCTAATCAATATGCAGAGCCGTGTGAAAACTAGAGTGCAAGTTTGTTTTGTAGCCTTCTGCGGAAAGTACTCTACTTTTAGTATTTTAGACAGTACAGTGCTTTTAGTAAGATTTTTGTGTGTGTTTGTACTTTGAGAGGATTTACTGAACCCTCACCTGTGACTGAGACTCCTCTGGGACTGGAAGGAGCCGATGTCCTGGCTCTGACCCAGACTGCAGCTCTCCTCACAAGGAGATGGAATCAGGTGGACTGGACCTAAATGTGACACAACGCACAAAAAGTACACGTTGCTACAACACAAAACTTTCCCATTTCCACCGTTGCTGCCTAAATCTCTGTCTAAATGCACCCTAATGCCACCCTGCAGCATCACATTCTTTAACTGGGACCTGAAGTCTGGTCCAACCCACCACAGCTGTGTTCAGGGCCCAGCTCACACCGGCAGCAGGGTCTCTGGGGGAAGTCATGGAGCCAGCGGGCGTCCAGACACGAAAGTTCTGCCCCAGCATAAGGACAGTCCTGGGACCTCAGAGAAGTTGCTAAAAAATAAAATAAAAAATAAGTTCATTACATTTGTTTTTATGCTGAAACAAAACAAAAGGCAACAACCAGACAATGAATGAAGAATTAAACTCTTGTTTCTTCAGTCTAAGAAGGTTCAAAGAGTTACAGCAGGTAAGACATTAACTACTAATACCCTTTCCACTGAACTCCAACATGTTGGAACACTGCCTTTAATAACTTATTACTAATAACATGCTTCTAAAGGATTTACTAACAGTCTGTTCGTTTATGACCTAGTCCATTTGTTTTGTTGTGTCCACTGAATAGAAGTATGAGTAATTTACACATCGTCGCTGTGGAGAAATCAGCATTAAATGGATGTTTTTTATAGTAGAATTGTCTCGAGTCTCATTTGGGTGGATAATAAATGTCACTGCTTTTAACTGTTAGCATGTCTGTGGCTGATTGGGCACGGGGTGGGGCGAGTGCCTCAAAACAAATCACTGACAAAATGTGCAACTCAAGTGTTCACTTTGCAGCCATTAAATATGTGAGAGAAAAGCACAACAAAACAAAAACGAATAACTACTAACGCCTTGATAAATCCTACCACACACTGTTTCTGACGAGGTTACCTGGGAAACGTGACATCATTAAAAAGGCGCCCGGGGATGTTTCTCATGCTTAATCACCTCTGACCTCATGAATTCTGCTCGTCATGCAAGTTCCCACAAACGTGCAATATCAAGCGGCAAAAAACATTTAACCTGTTTGTGGAGGGAAATGGAGCAGAGGAGTGAACCGCAAACAGCAGCACTCTCTCTTCTTAGAGTTTTAAGGTCTCTGAAATGTGTTGTTGGATTTCCATCTTTGTAATGACTGCAGGTAAGACCAGGTATAAAAATAAAAAAAAAACAGATCTGCATGTTAAATATATCTGTAATATCACTAAAATTAGAAACATCCTGTCTAAAAATGATGCACAAAAACTGGTTCATGCATTTGTCACGTCTAGACTGGACTATTGTAATGGTTTGTTATCTGGGTGTCCAAATACTTTAAAAAGTCTTCAGTTGATCCAAAATGCTGCTGCCAGAGTCTTAACTGGCGTTAGTGGGAGAGATCATCCCTCCAGTTTTAGCTTCTCTACACTGGCTCCCTGTCAAGTCCAGAATTGGATTCAAAATCTTACTTCTAACCTACAAAGCTCTCAACAACCTAGCTCCATCTTATATTTGAGATCTTATTGTTCCATATTTTCCTAACAGAGCACTTTGCTCTCAGACTTTTTTCCCAGGACATCCTTGTAAAAGAGAAATGAATACAAATGAATAGTTATATCATGAGTTGGGGGTCGGTCTCTGCTGCTGCCTCGTCTAATTTGGGCACAGTAGTTCTAAGAATGAGTGGGTTGTTGCCATTTTTGTGTCTGCTAGGGTCAGATAGCTGTAGCAGCCATCTTTGAATTGGGCTGATGCCACGAATTCATCAGTTGTAAATGTACATCATTGTGCGAGTTTCATTAAAATATGTTCAGTGGTTCATAATTATAAATATAACAAAACACTTATAATAATTACAATATTTAACAATAAACGCTCTCACAGATAGCAGTGTGTGACATCATGTCACTGCCTGATGTTTTGCAGCTGTTTCAGAGCACACAGAAGCTTCCCTCTGGTTTGGATATCCTAACTAAACCACATATTGTTCTGGTGTTCTGTTGACTGTGCATTGAAAAGCCAGCACCTGCTGCGAGGTTCAAAGTTCACTGCTTGCAGAACTAGATGGAAAATAAATGTTTTGTTTTTTCCCCCATGGATCCTGGGACGGCAGAGGTAACACTGAAATGATTGGTTCAGAAACTGCTCGCTCACTGATATATAAACAGAGAACATCAAACTTATTAAAAAGAGGTTTTAAGGAACAACAAAGTCCATGCTCAATAATCCAGGTATACAATCCAACATTTTTCAGTCAGGTCATCTGGACAGTTTCTTTTTTTGTGCTGAAACGTTTCACCTTCGATCCAGAAGGCTTCATCAGTCAAGGAAACACAACACAAAACTGATCCTTCCCCAAACAGCTTACTCCAAAGTGGAACAAACCAGTTCTGTTGGTGCTAAGATGGTCTCTTTGCCACGCCCCCTCCTCCATTGCCGGCCCTCTTCCTTGGTGACAGTTGTGTCAAACTGGTTTGAAGGTGAAACGTTTCAGCACAAAAAAAGAAACTGTCCAGAGGACCCGACTGAAAAATGTTGGATTTTAAGGAACAGTTTTGGACACAAGAAATCAGTTTCAGATCATCGAGACAAACCGCTGGGCTTCTTCTCCAGCAGCTGCCTCTTGCAGTAGATGACACACAGAACCAGCAGCGCCAGCAGAACCGTAGCCAACGCGCTGCAGATGACCGCGGCCAGCGCCATGTCCCGCGGGCTGGTCACCACTGAGGGGAGGGCCACCAGGTTCACACGCCCACTGCCTGCAAGGAGAGCGGAAAAAAACACGTGTTAGTGGGGCTTTTATTCACTTGTCTTTTAACATCTTACATTTATTAACCAAGAACAAACACATGCACTTACTAAATGCTTTTCACACAGAACAAACAAAATAACAATAAATAATTTGTATCTAATTTAGAGTTCATTTTCAATGACAGGAAGCCATAAAGTCAATAATTAATTCATTTTTAAAGTTAAAGCTTCGATCGCGCGACCTCGCTGAGAGGGGGCAGCTCTACAAACTAAGCCATCGTGCTGTTACTGTTAGCAAAATATCTTGAATTGAAGATAATGGATGGATGGATCCAATAAGAGAATATGCATCAGCTGATCCGTCTCTTCTCAGAGAATCAAGCCAGTTCAGTTCTGTACAAGGTCCGGTGGTGTCAACCCCCAGAATGGTTTGATGCTCAAACTGCCCGCCACAGTGTGTGACCCCCACCTGAGGATTGCAATTTCCCCAGCATAGATTTGTTTTATATTTACCATTATGCACTGACGGTTCATTTTTAGCGTTCAGTTCATTTTTTTCCATAATGGACTTTCAGTATCACGGTCGCCTGCTCTTAGTGTTGGCAGACATTTCTGCAAGCTGTGAACACTTTACATATTACAACGAAACAAATTTCATAGCTTCAAATGCAACAAATATCTAAAACAATAAGGGCATAAGTAGAGCAGAAGAAGCCTTTATATAATCCATCTCTTTTTGACCGATGAGAAGCTGGAAAGATAAGAATAAATATTCCTCTGCGCCTGGAGTCAGTAATCTTTTTGCTCTGGCTTAATGAAGCAAGCAGCAGAGTTCAAAGAGAAAACGCCTGTGGTGGATTCTCCCATTAACTGCCTCTGTCTTGTTCTCGACAGAAGATGATTTACAGACATTTTTCCCTCTACTGTGCCTCCAGGATCCCTCGCAATGCAAATCAATAAGCGCACACACGGCGCAGGGTTTTAGAAACGGCTCAAATCTGAATGTGCGAGACAAAAAAACAAGAGAGAAACAGAGTTGTGCGTATCGTTGCACAAATCCCATCTTTTCTGAAATGAAATGCGATGGCTGTGTTTGCAGACCCTCCCACCCCCCTTTCACACACACGCACCATAACCACCCTTAATTGTTTACTAACCTGTCCAAATTATTACTAAGCCATCAGTTTATGTTACTCACTATTAGAGTTTTGATACATATGTGACGCAGTGGAGGGCCTGTCCATGTCACCAGGTAAAGTATACGGGACTCATGCTGGTTAAAGTAGTCAGAATGACCACATGCTGCAGTGCAAAAACTGTGAAAATACAGTAGAAATGTTTTGCCACAATTTATATTTGCGTAAACATGAATGCATAAAGACACCGTCTAGTCACCCCGGTAACTAAAATAGCATATTATAGTGTCACTAATCTGCCGTTACGTTTAAGTTTCCTAACAGACATGTCTTTAGAAACAAACCTTTTAATTCCAACACTTTTAAATTTCTTTGAAGGTAACTATTATTCTCCAGCTGTCTTAATGTCAGGAAATCCCTACGTATAATGCTGGGCCTCTGTGAATCTTGAAGATGACCCTTTTTAAATATAGGGCAGACATTCCTAAAGACATCGCTCCAAACCAATAAAAATGTTGTTTTCAAACCGGCGCTCTTTTAAATAAAACGATGTTAGGCGAGCTGATGAATCACCAAATTTCAATAAACTGTGTTTCTTTTTAAGATTCTTGAAATGGAGAATTACAAATAATAATAATAACTCGTCATTGGGACGGCATTCGTCACAAATGTTCTTTGAATATTAATTATTGGTGGTATTTTCATTTGAGGTAAGCTTTGAATTATTCAGGCGTCTAACCTAAAGGGATGTTCCAGTGTTGTATCGACACAATAGATAAGTGAAAAAACCAGTTCTAAACTGGATCTTCAATCACTTCAACAGCAGTATGTCAGAAAGTCACAAAGACGCAATTTGTTCCACATTTTCTTAATTTGTTCTAGTCTTGAGTTGGATTTATTAAAAATACATCACAGACTTATACATCAAATATTTTAGCACCAACAAGGTGAATCACAAGAATTAAAAGGTGAAAAATCCGACATACAGTTGATCAGAGCACGTGAAGAATCATCTCGCGGGTCTGTCAGGTTTCTGCTACACTTTTATTTCTTTAACACAAAGTGTGATGCTATCAAGTGGAAGAACTGGACTAACATTCAGTTTAGTCCAGTTTATCTAAAGAAAAACTGGAAAAAGTCCAAAGAAATAAAGCTCAAGGTCACAAGAGTACTGCATACAGCACACTATGCTACTGTTGACAAACTATTATACAGCAACACAACTATCTATAGCAATGGCCTGACTATCCATCCATCCATCCATCCATCCATCCATCATCTTCCTCTTGTTCTGAAGTCAGGTCGCGGGGGCAGCAGTTTGAACAGGGAGGTCCAGACATCTCTTTCCACAACGACCTCTTCCAGCTCTTCTGGGAGAACTCCAAGGTGTTTCCAGGCCAACCGAGAGACATAATCTCAGTGTCCTGAGTCTTCCTCAGGGTCTCCTCCCAGGTGGACATGCCCGAAGCACCTCCCTAGGGAGGCGCCCAGGAAGCATCCTTACCAGATGCCCAAACCACCTCAACTGGCTCCTCTCGATGTGGAGGAGCAGCGTTTCTACTCCGAGTCTCTCCCAGATAACTGAACTTCTCACCCTGTCTCTAATGGAGAGTCCTGCTACCCTTTTTTCATTCAATCTTTATTTATACAGGTTAGTCTCATTGAGCCTCGAGGACTCATTTACAAGAGAGACCTGTAACTATAGATAGTATAGTACAGTATACACTACTATACTGTAGACCCTGTGGAGGAAACTCATTTCAACCGCCTGCATCCAAGATCTCGTTCTTTCAGTCACTACTCAGAGCTCGTGACCACAGGTGAGGGTAGGAACGTAGACCGACCGGTGAACAGAGAGCTTTGCCTTACAGCTCAGCTCTCTCTTCACCACAACGGACCGGTACAGTTTAACCTTAGTTTTGTGGCCACATGACAGAAGCAACATGTGTCACACTACCAACACAAGTCACCCACTCCCAACGTGATATCTGAGATTTGTGTGTGATCACTGTAGATCACCTTTGAATGTTTGTATGGCCAAAGGCTCTTAATGAATGATTAGGCCTTAGTGTACTTTAACATCATGATCTGCTGTTAAACTCATAAAGCACATTAGTTATCATTTGCTTTTTTGTTGAACAATACATGTACATGTGAGAAAAATAGTCCACAGCTGTATTATAAGATATACTATCTCTCTTCATGACTTCCACTCTCTAAAAACTTAGTCTGCCCCTCGAGGAACACAAAAGGTCTAAACATGTAAACTGTAGATTATATTAATATTGAACGACTGCAACCACCCTTCATATAAAAAAAATAAATAAATAAATAAAAAAACTTGAATGCAGAAACACATGTAATGTATGAAGTTATGGACTGGACCTTTTTTAAATGTTTGACCTTGATTTATGACCTTGAGCTTAGAGCTGGGGTGATGAAAATATGTTTTCTTTCTTTGAGGAGTCCCATAACATTTGTAAGGCATGCATTCTGCAAAAACCTTTCCTGCTACATAAAGAAAATAAAGTCTAAAAAAGTGTTAGCATCCAGTTCAGGAGCAGCAAACACTCCCCATTCTACTTGTTCAGAGTTTTTACATGTAAAAAAAATGAATATAAATCTGTATTTATTCCTAAATATCCATACATATTTGCTACTATTAATATTTGTTCATTTAAAAAGTTGCGTAACGCTGGAAAACTGTTCCTGTTGTTGATCAGGTTAACTATTTTTGTTGTAAAACATAAAAAGCAAATAGTCTTTCAGATTTAAGCATTCGAGTGGGTCTGTAAAAATAATATACATTTTTTTGTCGATATACTGCCTTTATTTTATATCAAGGAGGCAATGAAATGAGCTAACAGATGATTTCTGGCTGTGTTTCAACATTGCGGTGTCTGTTTAGTAAACAAAGCCCAGATGAAACTCCTCTGTGATATTTGTGTAAATCCAGTTGCGATAAGGCCAGCACAGGAAGTAGCTGCAAAAAGCAGATAGTGTTCTTTCAACATGCGTGAGTGCACGTATCAGTCCACTCGCCTCTTTATTTCACTTTCTCACTCTGTGATCCATCGGCAGAGCCAACGACTTCAGCAGATGAAACGCATTAAAGAGGCTGAAGGAAGCCATAAAAACACAACCTCATTTTTACTCAGCTCCAGAATAACCACTAGGAGAAAGGAAGGGGAGAATAAAAGGACATGGGGGCTAAGATTTACTGTCCATACCAGACAGTGACTGCCCCCACTGCACAGCTGCACCATTGCCTCAGGCCAGAATGATCGGCCCTTTAAGTTTTCACCACCCTCCTCGAGATAACCGTGAAGGGAATGGGGGCAGCAGGACTTTCAAACATTTGGAAATGCTCCACGGAGAGTCTCCGCTAACTGCCGGCTATGTTCCCAGACACAATGGCCATTTTGTTTCGTGGGCTGACTCCTGTATCAAATGGGGAAGCAGCACAGATGGACAAATGAGGGGACGGAGGGAGGCCAGTTGTCTCAAGGTCAGAGCACGCATACACATTTTTTTTAAAGCAGTACACATTTTTAAGCAAAAAAGACTAAATAATTGATCAAAGTTGATCTGTTGGCATCATTCTTGTGTCCAAAAACTGCTTGAGTTGATATCCTAAAGCTGTCGATATTTATTTATTTATTTGCAATGGTTTGTTATCTGGGTGTCCAAAATCTTCTTTAAAAAGTCTTCAGTTGATCCAAAATGCTGCTGTCAGAGTCTTAACTGGAATTACTGGGAGAGATCATCTCTCTCCAGTTTTAGCTTCTCTCCTTTGGCTCCCTGTCAAATTCAGAATAGAATTCAAAATCTTACTTCTAACCTACAAAGCTCTCAACAACCTAGCTCCATCT